ACTCCTGGCATCAGAAACATTATTTGTCATGAGGCTCTCTAAGAAAACTGCCTGACTGGACAGAAGGATTCGAGTTGGAAAAGGTTGGATGGATGGCTAACTAGGCAGGCAAATCACAGGCAATCTCAGAAGTCTTTTAAGCAAGTTGGGTGTTTGCTCATTTACTCACTCAATAAACATAACTGACATATTATTACATGGTTACAATGGGATGTCTGGGAGGTTGAATTTCATTTACCCTTCAAGGTCCTTCTACCTGGACTAACAATCAAACTGACATGAGACAGATTAACAGAAGAAAATCAGATTTGGTAGCATACCTGTGAGGAATCCACACATACATGTAATTCCAAAGACAGTCAGGCAACATGATACTTACATGAGCTAAGAGAAGGGTAGGGTTCTCAAGACACAAAGGAGAGAAAGACCACTAGCAGGAAGGTGAGAGGAGATGTCTGGAGAACAAAGGTTGCCCTGTAGTATAGATAAGTTTCTTAAGTAAAGAGGAGTCTCCATTAATAGCTCTTTTCCTGCTACAATCAGGCAGTTGAGGGGGAGGTAAAGAACTTCTCCTGAATCTGCTGGGTTTTGATTGCTTTTAACAATTATTTAAAATAATATTCATGCCAAAGTAGCCCATCGTGGGGCTACTTGCCCTTGGTCCTTACAAGGACATGTAGTGGATATACAAGAGTGAACAAAAAACACATCATCCTTGTCCTCATGGAGTTACATGAGGCAGAAAAGCACTGCACAAATAAACAAACATGTAACTAATTACAAATAGTGATAAGTGCCAACAAATAAATCAATGCAGTGCAAAGGGAAGCTTGCTTCAGATCAGGTGATTAGGAAGGATTTCCAAGGTATGGCATTTGAGACTAGAGTCTCAAATTTATTATTTTGTTTAAAATGGAAAGTGACTTTCCAGATAGAAAGGACCACATGGAAGAGCCAGGGTCCTGCAGCTGGGGTGGGGGTGAAGGGCAAAGAACTGAAAGGGGCTAACGTGGCTACAGCTTAGCAGACATGGAGGAGAGTGGAATAAGGTAATGTTTGAGAGGGAAGAATAAACCAGAGGCTAACAGGGCAAGATATAGAGTATGGATGCTTTCTTTAATGGAATGGATGCTTGTTAAAAATGCAAGTACCTGGGACACCTGGGTGGCACCCAACCTCAGGTCATGATCTCACTGTTCCTGGGTTCGAGCCCCTCATTGGGCTCTGTGCTGACCACTGAGAGCCTGGAGTCTGCTTCAGATTCTGTGTCACCCTCTCTCTCTGCTCCTCCTCTGCTCATACTCGCTCTCAAAAATAAATAAAAATATTAAAAAAATTTTTAATGCAAGTACCTATGCGCATTTTACAAAGTTCTTGGGCTCTAAGCCATCAGAGAACATGACTTAGTAGGTTTGCGGTGGGGGCACCCAGATTCTGCATTTTTTACAAGCATTCCTGGTAATTTCTGATACAGAGACTCTTCAGAAAAGCTCTTGGAGAATCATACTCTAGAAAAAAATCAACTCTTTTACCTTTTCTAAAGTTCATCTAAGGTAAGCTTTGATATAATAGCTTAAATTATTATCTAGAGAAGTTAGGAACAAGGGACCCTTTATTTAGAACAGTGCATACTCAGATTCATGCTACACTCACACACGTGAAACATTTGTTATAATGTTCTTTTTCACAAGGACTAACTCAAGGCAATTATCAGCCAATGTTTATCCAGAACTACATGGTGCATCCCAAAGTGCCACTCTCAGGAGAGAGGCCTGGAATGCACTACTTTTGTTTTGATGATTTCTAAAGACTCCAAAACACCTAAAAGTGTGCAGACTTCCAAAGGGCAGGGACGATTGTCTTTGATTTCTCCTAGAACTGACATAGATGGCAACATAGAAGACACTGGTAAGTGGCACCTATTTCTTTTTTTTTTTCAATCTCCAATTTTTTTTTTTACAAATAGTTTATTGTCAAATTAGTTTCCACATAACACTCAGTGCTCATCCCCACAAGTGCCCTCCTCCATGCCCATCCCCCCCTCCCCCCCACATCCATCAGTCCTCAGTTTTTGTCAGCATTCAAGAGTCTCTCATGGTTTGCCTCTCTCCCTTTCCCCCACCATTTCCGCCCTTCTTCTCCCCCTTGTTCCTCCGTCAAGTTCCTCCTAATCCTCCTATACGTGCAAACATATGACATTTGTCCTTCTCTGCCTGACTTATTTCGCTCAGCATAACACCCTCAAGGTCCATCCATGTTGCTACACATGGCCAGGTTTCATTGTTTCTCATTGCCATGTAGTATTCCATGGTATAGATACACCACATCTTCTTGATCCATTCATCTGTTGATGGACACTTAGGCTCTTTCCATGTTTTAGCTATTGTGGAGAGTGCTGCTATGAACATTGGGGTACATGTGCTCCTATGCCTCAGCATTTCTGTATCCCTTGGGTAAATTCCTAGCAGTGCTATTGCTGGGTCATAGGGGAGTCCTATTGTTAGTTTCCTGAGGAACCTCCACACTGTTTTCCAGAGGGGCTGTACCAGTTTACATTCCCACCAACAGTGTAGGAGGGTGCCCATTTCTCCACATCCTCGCCAGGATCTAGAGTTCTCTGATTTGCTCATTTTAGCCACTCTGACTGGCGTGAGGTGGTATCTCAGTGTGGTTTTGATTTGTATTTCCCTGATGAGGAGGGATGCTGAGCATCGTTTCATGTGTCTGTTGGCCATCTGGATGTCCTCTTTGGAGAAGTGTCTGTTCATATCTTCTGCCCATTTCTTCACTGGGTTGTTTGTTTTTCGGGCGTGTAGTTTGGTGAGTTCCTTATAGATTTTGGATATTAACCCTTTATCTGATATGTCATTTGCAACTATCTTTTCCCATTCCTTTGGCTGCCTATTAATTTTCTGGGTTGTTTCCTTGGTTGTGCAGAAGCTTTTAATCTTGATGAGGTCCCAATCATTTATTTTTGCTCTTGATTCCCTTGCTTTTGGGGATGTGTCAAGTAAGAAGTTGCTGCGGTGGAGGTCAAGGAGGTTGTTTCCTGCTTTCTCCTCTAGGGTGTTGATAGTTTCCTGTCTCACGTTCAGGTCCTTTATCCATTTTGAATTTATTTTTGAAGTGGCACCTATTTCTGACAAGATTATCAATGAGTAGCTGAAAGAGGAAGTTAAAATTATTACTAAAATGTATTAGGTATACCCACGATTTTCATACTAGTTCTTTTCTACAAACTGATCGTTTTGAGTTGGATTTAATGCTGCAATTCTCACCAGTCCTCATTTGGAGGAAGCTCTTTGTGGCTCAGATAAAATTCTCTCCCACAATTCTTTAGAATTCTAAAGTATAAAATTACTTAGGAATGGAATAATTCCTAGCCGGCTTCACTGACAATAACAAATGTTCAATTAGTGCTTGACTAAGGAGAACCCCCAAATAATCTTTTTAAGTGACGCCCAATTTCTTCTAAACTTTCCAGTGCATTTTATAAATACCAATTTAACAGCCTGGAAAGTATCCGTCTCCTAACAGAGGCCGAGCTGCAAAGGGCTCGAACCTGCGACAGGTAGAGTTAAAGGATCTGGAAGCTCTGAGGGGGCGCTCCAGCTATGTGCATCCGACTCACGTGAGCTATGTTCTCATCGCAGCCGGGAACTTTCCGCTTCAACAGGAGTGGGTTAAACTACAGACGCCCTACCAGTGGACGACACTACGCAGGCGCACTCCGCCCTGGACCGCCCACTGCCTGCCTACTCCCGCTCCCTACCTCCCCTGACGCAGCGTAAGAGGCGGGGTCTCATCCGGAATCAAGTTTTCGGCCTCCTGGTTTAGTCTCCCGGTAACACGGTGACCTGTCCCTGCCTAAGGTGGACCTGAAGGACCCAAATGCTTGCGTAGTGACAGGTGAGCACGCCAGGATGTCCGGCGTTTTAACTTCTCCGCAACAGGAGTTCCTTGGGCCTCTTCCAGGACTGCTTTCTCAGAAGACACAAATCGTCCTAACCGCAGAATTCTTGGTGTGATAAATCGGCTTACTAGGGCTGTGCAAATGACAACGGAGCTGGGACACAGAGGGTGCATCAGAGAGAGCCAAAAGAATAAAGGAAGGAAAGAGTATTTTAGACAGGACGTTCTCTGAGTTCAAAGAACGGAAAGTTCAGTTAAACTGTGTGGAGGTAAAGTAAGGGCTGGGAAGGGATATAGCTATCATTGTAGCCTTAAAAAAGGAATTGAGAAGTTTGGACTTTATCATGAAAATCATCGAATAATTTTAAGCTGGAGAGTGACTTGATGTGTGTTTTAGAGAGATGACTGCTGTGTATCAGAATGGATTAGAAAAGACGGAGCGAACCCTTAGGCGGTTAACTTCATCTCGTGAAGAGGTGTTGGTGACCGGAAGCAGCACTGGGAATAGAAAGAGACGCTACATTTATTTTGTACGTATTGTAGTTCCTAATATTACCGCCGGATACTTTGGGAAATAGAATATATAGGACTATGTGTCTGATTGATGTAGGAGGGAAGAGAGATGTCAAAGACAAATTCTGAACTCTCAGAATTCTGTTAGAAAGCTGTGGGTTTGGGTTCTTCATTGACGGAAGAAACCTAAAAGGACTGGAGAAGGTTTTCCGGACTGGTGTGGGGAGTTCACTTTAGGACATATTGAGCTTGAGGTACAGCTGATGAACAGATTAATTTAAGAAGGCATTTCATTGGGGAATTCCCGGTATAAGGCAGGAAACAGCAGTGATCATTAGCAACTTTATTTTCAAAGCTTTTTTGTGTGTCTTTGGTTTATTTATCATTTTTATTGAGATAAATTGACATATAACATTGTTAGGTTCAGATGCACAACATAATGATTAGATATTTGTATGTATTGCACAGCGACTGCCACAGTAACTCTTGTTAACATCCATCACCATTTATAGTTAAAATTTTTTTTCTTGTGATGAGACCGTTGAAGATGTACCCTGTTGGCAACTTTCAAATATAGAAATATGGAATGTTTCACAAATGTGTTTGTCATCCTTTTGCACAGTCCATGCTAATTCTCTGATTTGTTCCAGTTTTAGTATATGTGCTGGTGACATGAGCACTAGTTTGCTTATCTTGATGGAGAACTTGTCATTAGGGAACCATTTTCTCCAGGAAGATTTTGGGACAGGCATACTAACAATTTCTTGCTCTTTCGTTCTCTGTTCCTGTCTTCCTTTCTGAATCTTATCCATACTAAGTGTGATAGCGTTAGAACAACAGTAAAAGGAAGCAACATAGGCCTGATCACTTTTCAGTAAATTTATTCAGTTGAATTAAACGTCCAGGTCTGGATGAGAAAGGAGAGGATGGCAGCGTAGAATCCTTAAGCTAAATGTTCTTCTCAGCCTAGGGACCTAGCTTATCTAAGGCCCCTTGTTTTATCTTCCTTTTGGGTTACTTCCCTGCTTCATTCTTTCTTTTTCATCCTCGAAAATCTCCAGTACCCTGTTATGTAAGTGGATAATAGTTTCCTAATTGCCGCACTTATTTTGTACTTGTGTGGTTCTTAATATTACCAGAACAATGGCATTTTCAAAGTCCTTTGTTATTCTGTACAGCTTTTTTAAAAAGGAAGAAATGGATGGGAGTGCCTGGGTGGTTCAGTTGGTTAAACATCCGACTTCAGCTCATGTCATGATCTCACAGTTCATGGGTTTGAACCCTGCGTCAGGCTCTGTGCTGACAGCTCAGAGCCTGGAGCCTGCTTCAGATTCTGTGTCTCCTTCTGCCCCTCTCCCACTCATGCTCTCTCTCTGTCTCAAAAATAAATATTAAAAATTATTTTTTAAAAGGAAGCAATGGAGGGGCACCTGGGTTGTGTGTGACTTTGGCTCAAGTTATGATCTCGTGGTTTGTGAGATCAAACCCTGCATCAGGCTCTGTGCTGACACCTCAGAGCCTGGAGCCTTCTTCAGATCCTGTGTCTCCCTTCCTCTCTGTCCCTTCCCCACTCGTGCTCTGTCTCTGTCTCTCAAAAATAAATAAAAATATTTTAAAAATAAAAATAAATAAGGAAGAAATGGAAAAACAAAAGGAGAACACAAGCTCCTGTAGTGTTGGAGTTAGGGCTTGTAGACAGAGTCTATTCACTGTCCTTTTTGTTTTTCCTTTCTTCATTTGGAAGAAATGAAGAACATCTTTTGGCATTTATTCTGTGCCAGAAACTGTTTTAGGTGCATTCCTGTGGATAGTTGGGGGAGTGGGAGTTTATGTTCCAACCACTGTTACCTATCTTAAATTTATTTTTACATTTCAGATTTAATTCATGCTCACTGCAATAAAAGACACTAAAACATATAAATGTGTAATAGAAAAAGTAAGTCCTCACTCTGTCCCCTTCCTCTCGCAATCCATCCCACAGAAGTAATAATTTTGGCTACTTTGGTGTATTTCTTTCCACACATTTTTTTGCACACATAAGTAAACAAGTTGTGTGTGTGTGTGTGTATGTGTGTGTGTATTCCCTAGAAGAGACTCTGAATTGAGGATTATTTTGAAAATCATTTAAGAAAGTGTTCCCAGAGTGCAGTATTGTGATTTATAAGAAATATATATTTCATCATTGAGATGATCAAATATATCTAAGATATATTTTCATCTATGGCTCTTGGCTTGCAACTCACAGCTCCCCAAAAACCCTTGGTATTTTCTGAGCAATAAGAAAAATGGGAACATCTTTTGTTATAATTTTTGTCCTCTTGTCCTCAGTTCCTGAAATCACTTCAGAGCCAGAAAGGTGTAATGGGTATCTTGTTATCCATAACAAGCCCTGTACATTACAAATGAGATTGTGTTAATAAGATGGGGGCCCCCTGCAGATGGGGGCTAGTTGCCCGGGGAACCAACCATGAATAGAGGGTTGGAACTTTCAGTCCCACCCCCTGATTTTCACAGAGGGGAGCAAGGCTAGAGGTTAAATCAATCACCAGTGACCAATGACTGCATCAATCATGACTATGTAATGAAGTTTCCATAAAAGCCCAAAAGGAGGAAGTTTGGAGAGCTCCCAGGTTGGGGAACCAGAATGCTTCCATATGCCAACATGCAGGCCCCAAACTCAGGACAGAAGTTCATTTGTTTGAGACTTTGCCCTATGATGTAATAAATTAGTAATTTAGTGATTAAAGGTTTCCTGAATTCTGTGAGCCACTGTAACAAATTAATTGAACCTGAGGAGAGGGTCATGAGAATCTCTGATTTATATCTAGTCAGTCAGAAGTACAGGTAAGACCTGGACTTGCAGTTGGCATCTGAAGTTCAGGCGGTGAGGGGCAGGGGGCGGGGGGTTGTAAGAACTTCCAGTCTATATCCAGTTGGTCAGAAGCACAGGTAACAACCTGGAATTACAATTGGTATATGAAATGGAGAGAAGTCTTGTGGGTCTGAGTCCTTAACCTCTGGAATCTGATGCTGTCTTGAGTAGATAGTGTCAGAATTTATTTGAATTATAGGACACCCAGCTGGTGTTGCAGAATTGTTTGAGTGTGGGGAAACCCACATGCCATCACATTGGGACTGGGTATAGGACTTATTACAGGGGAACTGATAAAGAAGTGGGGAGAGTGAGATAGGGAAAAGGTGAAAGCCAAGGAAGATGCAATCTTAGGGATATCTGCAGAGGACTGTTTCAGCCTGATCCCACAGTGGGGTTCTGGTGTACAAATTATATATCAGAGTTGTCTCTACCAGAAAGATGGGAGCTGGACTTTTACTCTCTCATTCATGTTTTTCACTGATTAAGGGCCATCCAATGAGGTGTAAAGGCACAGACACATTTAACTCTCTGCACACACAGGCAATGCCATTCTAATTGGCCAAGCAAGGATAGTTCTCCAAAGAAGAACCACCAGTGCAGGCATTTTTAAGTGAAAGCCGGTTGAAGATGGGTGTGTGTGCAGAGTGGTACAAAATGAACCAATAGGATGTGTATGTATATATATAGGTATTTATTTTAAGGAATTGGCTCACATGTTTATGGAAGCCAGCAAGTCTAAAATCTGCAGACTCCGAGAAAAGCCAACACTATAGTCCAAGTTCAAAGGCCTTTATGCTAAATACCCAGGAAAGAGTCAAAGTGGTAGGCAAGTCTGAAGGCTATCAGGCTGATGACACAGGAAGAAGCTAATGTTGCAGAATTCCCTCTTGATCAGGGAAGGTCCATCTTTTTTATTCAGACCTTCACTGATTGGATGAGGCCTGACTACATTTTGGAAAGCCATCTGCTTTACTCAGTCTACCAGTTAAATTTTTTTTTAATGTTTATTTATTTTTGAGAGAGAGACAGAGTGCAAGCAGGGGAGGGGCAGAGAGAGAGGGAGATACAGAATCTGAAGCAATCTCCAGGCTCTGAGCTGTCGGCACAGAGCCCCAAGTGGGGCTCAAACCCATAAACTGTGAGATCATGACCTGAACTGAAGTCGGATGCTTACTCAACTGAGCTACCCAGGTGCCCCTCAGTCTTCCAGTTTAAATGTTAACCTCATCCCAAAATATTCCCACAGAAATATTTAGAATAATGTTTGAACACATATTTGGGTGACAGTGCCCAGGCAAATTGACATATAAAATTAAGTATCACATCTGCTGTTTTAGTTCTTAGTCTCTTAATGCCTAGCCCCATTCCACCCTAGCCCCACTCCACAAGTTCTCTCCTCATGGTTCCAGAATGGCTCATATTCTTATACCACACTGATCATAGGAAGAAGGATCTTCCTTAGTAGCCCTGAAGGAAGAGAGATGATCTTCAGCAGGCCTCAAGACTGCTGATTAATACTGGATGTGGTAGATTGTTGCTGTAATGACTCCCAATTTGTTTAAACCTCCCTGAAGTACTCCTTCAGGTGAGGTGCAGGTCCCAGGAATGTAAAGGCAATGGGTCTGTGGGGGCACTTCTCACTGTTGCCACATTCCCTGAAAGTCTGAGGAGGACCCAAAGGAGCACTGATTCAGAGGCAAACTGTTCTGAAATCTACCATCTGGTGCCAGATTTTGGAGCTTCAGAGTCACAACAGGGATTCCAGATGGGTTCACTGAAGTATCTAAAAGGATACTTCTTGGGGCGCCTGGGTGGCTTAGTCGGTTAAGCGTCCGACTTTCGCTTAGGTCATGATCTCACGGTTCGTGGGTTCGAGCCCCGCGTCGGGCTCTGTGCTGACTGCCGGCTCAGAGCCTGGAGCCTGTTTCAGTCTGTGACTCCCTCTCTCTCTGTCCCTCCCCTGCTCATGCTGTCTGTCTCTCTCCTAGAAATAAATAAAACATTAAAAAAAAATTTTAAAAAAAAGGATACTTCTTTTGAGTTTACCAAGAAAACAGTTTCAAGAGTTCCTGTGAAACTTTAGGGAAGGAGGGATTAGAGGTAGAGAATATGAAGGAGGAAGGCAAGGTTGACAAGGCTCTGGGTTATAGGATCCTAGGGTTCAAATTTCTACTTGAGTTTTCTTGTGTTATAAATCTTAATGTATAAGCTCTGTCCCTGAAAGCCTCATGGTGGGGATCTCACCCCTGATGGATTGAGGGAGAAATTGTGAGTCCCTCCTCATGGGTTCTCTATCTTTCAGAACAACTTCACACAAACTCCTTAGTTCATCCTTCTCAATCAGTTTCCTTGTCTGTTACTTCCTGGTATCTACCTGCCTCATCTTTAAAATTCAACTCCAGTCCCATGTCTTCAGAAAGGGGCCTCTTCTCCCCTCAGTTAACTATTATTTTTTCTTCAGCACCATGGTTTTCTGTTTCATGATGTCACTCAGTATCCTGTATTCCTCCTGCTGCTTGGATTTTGGCTCATATACTTCATAGTCTCTTAGGGAATACAGAAGAATTTCTAGTGGGGAACAACTGTACAAATGATACAAGAATTCTCATCAGAAACAGTTGAGGCCAGAATGATGTCAAAAGATCATTATGGGGGGGGGGGGAAGATCATTATGGGGGAATGACTTAAGTGCTGAAAGAAGAAACAAGATACCAAGGTGGTAGACTTAAGCTCACTCATGTAGTAATTATAGTAAATTGCTAAACAGAAAAAGAAGGTTCCAATTCCAAAGAAGATAGAATAGCA